CCCCATGAGTCTGTGTGTAGTCAGGTTTAAGTCCCCACCAGGATATATAAACCAGTACACACACACACACACACACACACACAAATATTACATATACAGTGGGTACGGAAAGTATTCAGACCCCCTTAAATTTTTCACTCTTTGTTATATTGCAGCCATTTGCTAAAATCATTTAAGTTAATATGGTATCATTTACGCGAGTCGTGTAATTCATAACTGAATGTGATGAGAAAAGATACTTGAGTGAACTTGAGTACAAATAACAGTGAATGTGTGCGTTTTGTAAAATATCATTTGCAAATAGTTCAAATTTACAGCTATATTTAGACCTCAAATTTCTGTTTTTTTGTTTGTTTGTTTGTTTGTTTTTTGGACCAGCCCATCCCATAGAAGCTCAATTGGATTGAGATCTGGGGAGTTTGGAGACCAAGCCAACACCTTCAACTCTTTGTCATGTTCCTCAAACCATTCCTGCACATTTTTTCCAGTGTGTCAGGGTGCATTATTTTGCTGAAAGAGGCCACTACCATTTGGGAGGAACCCATTTCCTTGAAGGGTGTGCATCAGGGATGTCAAACTCAGTTTCTGGAGGACCGCAGCCCTGCTCCAACACACAAACCAAATAGTTTTCAATTAAGCCTGAAGGACTTGATTAGCTGGATCATCTTCCCATAGTGCATCTGCTGCCAGGGAAATGATGCACACACACCCGGTCATCCACATGATCTAAAAGAAAATGTGATTTAGCAGACCAGACAACCTTCTTCTATTGCTCCATGGTCCAGTTCTTCTCATGCTCCCGTGCCCATTGTATACTCCTTCGTGGTGGACTCTAACCAGTCTGTGGCCCCATGAGCAGCAAACAGCAATGCACTGTGTGTTCTGATACCTTCTCATCGTGACCAGCGATTGAACCAGATAGAATAGCCTTCATTCCCCAGTACAGTACATAGTGGACTTCATATATTGGAAGCATGAAACATGGGCAAAGAGTGGCTTTGACAAGGGCCAGATCGCGATAGTTAGACGACTGGATCAGAACATCACCAAAACGGTCTTCACCAAACATCACCAAGTCTTGTGGGGTGTTCCCGATATGCAGGTGTTAGTACCAACCAAAAGTGGTGCAAGGAAGGAGATCTGGTGAACCAGTGTCAGGGTGCATGTGGGGAATGAAGGCTAATCTATCTGGTTCAATCGCTGGTCACGATGAGAAGGTATCAGAACACACAGTGCATTGCTGTTTGCTGCTCATGGGGCCACAGACTGGTTAGAGTCCACCACGAAGGAGTATACAATGGGCACGGGAGCATGAGAAGAACTGGACCATGGAGCAATAGAAGAAGGTTGTCTGGTCTGCTAAATCACATTTTCTTTTAGATCATGTGGATGACCGGGTGTGTGTGCATCATTTCCCTGGCAGCAGATGCACTATGGGAAGATGATCCAGCTAATCAAGTCCTTCAGGCTTAATTGAAAACTATTTGGTTTGTGTGTTGGAGCAGGGCTGCGGTCCTCCAGAAACTGAGTTTGACATCCCTGATGCACACCCTTCAAGGAAATGGGTTCCTCCCAAATGGTAGTGGCCTCTTTCAGCAAAATAATGCACCCTGACACACTGGAAAAAATGTGCAGGAATGGTTTGAGGAACATGACAAAGAGTTGAAGGTGTTGGCTTGGTCTCCAAACTCCCCAGATCTCAATCCAATTGAGCTTCTATGGGATGGGCTGGTCCAAAAAACAAACAAACAAACAAAAAAAAAACATACATTTGAGGTCTAAATATAGCTGTAAATTTGAACTATTTGCAAATGATATTTTACAAAACGCACACATTCACTGTTATTTGTACTCAAGTTCACTCGAGTATCTTGTCTCATCACATTCAGTTATGAATTACACGACTCGCGTAAATGATACCATATTAACTTAAATGATTTTAGCAAATGGCTGCAATATAACAAAGAGTGAAAAATTTAAGGGGGTCTGAATACTTTCCGTACCCACTGTATATGTAATATTTGTGTGTGTGTGTGTGTACTGGTTTATATATATCCTGGTGGGGACTTAAACCTGACTACACACAGACTCATGGGGACTCGTGTCACAGTGGGGACCTAAATTGTGGTCCCCACGGGTACAAAAGCTTATAAATCATACAGAATGAAGTTTTTTGAAAATCTAAAAATGCAGAAAGTTTCCTGTGAGGGGTAGGTTTAGGGGTAGGGTTGGTGTAGGGCAATAGAATATACAGTCTGTACAGTATAAAAACCATTACGCCTATGGAGAGTCCCCACAAGGATAGCTGACCAGATGTGTGTGTACTGGTTTATATATCCTGGTAGGGACTTAAACCTTACTACACACAGACTCGGGGACTCGTGTCACGGTGGGGACCTAAATTGTGGTCCCAATGGGTACGAAAGCTTATAAATCATACAGAATGAGTTTTTTTGAGAAAGTAAAAATGCAGAAAGTTTCTTGTAAGGGGTAGGTTTAAGGGTAGGGTTGGTGTCTGTACAGTATAAAAAGCATTACGCCTATGGAGAGTCCCCACAAGGATAGCTGACCAGACGTGTGTGTGTTTGTGCTTGAAAACATGGTTTATGAGGACAAAAGTGTAGTAGCCTGTAATATGTCATGGGTATTACAAAGAGAAAAAATGCTCAGTATAAAAACTGTAGGCTTCCCGAGTCCCCGTAAACCACACGTGTGTGTGATGCTAATGCAGAAGTTATAAGCAGAAGAGAGATGTCGGTTTCTACTCAGATTTATATAGGCTACAGTAACACAATGTGGTAATAAAGAAGTGTAACATTTATTTATGTAGTTAGTTATGTATTTATGTCTTGCCATGATGTGATTAAATAACTAAAGAAAGTCTATAATGAAGTTTAAGAGATCAAAATCCGTTTGAAACTCGTTTCCTTAATTCATGACACCATTCATTTTCCCGACGGTAATCCCTACCGCTGACTGACAAGGAAATGACAATGCCTCAACAACCCAAGTTTCATCCAACCTTTGCTCGGCTCAGCGTTAACACTCCTCGTGACAGCAGCGCTCGAGGATTATGATCATCTGGATAAACGCACAACACACTTCACTGAAGGGAATAAAGACCGTATCAAAGGACACTAGGAAGTGAATTAACTCGTGCACTCCTCCAGAGACCCGTGGTTTTCTCGCTTTACATACAATAATATAATTTTGAATGTTGGTTTATACCGCGGTACAAGGCTGTGATATAAAGGTACGTGGATTTAATCCATTTATATGAACTGTGTGTGTTCAAATTTACGCTGCTTATCTAGACATTTTGCAAGTGTATCCGTTTTTCACATACTTTCGATTTGATTATTTTTTTTTTTTTTGACATAATAGCTGCGTTTCGAACGTTTCGAATGGGAAATTTAGGCGTTTCGAATCTTAACATGGTTGCATTCCAAATTTAAAATTAGGCGAATACATTTTTTATTCGCAGTTAGAGATAAGACATAATAAACCCCATATGAACTGAGATATTGATTCTACTACTTCTACTGTACAATAATAACAATACCTAATATTAGGTATTATTATTATTATTTCTTTTGGTTAGCTTTTAATATAAATGCTTAAAGATTGTTACAATGTTCCTTTCACCTATGCCTGTGAAACCTTAGAGGCTTTTAAACAAAACAACTGCCCTAACTTGTTTAAATTGCAAATAAGCAGGTTTTAAGAAACATAGTGTTAGTGAGTCCAGACTCATGTAGTATCTAACAGCCTAAAACCAGTTTGCCTGGTTTACCCTCTTCATGTTGTTCTGTTTGCTTACTTGTGGTAATTTACTCAGAAATAACAATACATCATATATCTCTGTAACCATGCAGGTGTGCTTTCATCCAACGCAAATAGAGAGCATAATGGTAATAGTGTGGAGCCAAAGTTCACCTTTGCTCATGAGAAACAGTCAGTCATAGTTTAAAGAAAGGCCATGCTTCATGCTTTATCAGTAAACATACATAATGACAAATCCTTTTCTAGTAAACATTCAGTGATTCCTTTACCACAAAGCCAGTTCCCTGTAACTTTTTAGGCTTTTGAATGTTTTTCCTTTTTATGTCACTTCCACAGATACCTTAATCTGGGTTTTCAAATTAAAATAAACCTAAGGACATGTTGTGGATCTGTTTATGAAGTACATATCGATTCTTCATTAAAGGGGTCATATGATGCGATTCCATTTTGTCCTTTCTCTTTGGAGTGTTACAAGCTCTTGGTGCATAAAGAAGATCTGTAAAGTTGCAAAGACTAAAGTCTCAAATCCAAAGAGATATTCTTTATAAAAGTTCAGAGTCAGCCACGCCCCCCTAAAACGGCTCGTTCTAACACGCCCCCACATGTCTACGTCACTATGTGGGAAGATTTGCATAGCGCCACCTAAATGTTCACGCATAGAAAGAAGGCGTAACTTTTATTCTCGCTGTAGCGTTGTTGTTGCCGCTGCCGCCATGTTGTGAAGACGCTGTGTGTTTCGTTGTGAAAGCGAAACATGCCTAGAGCTGATCTGTGCTGGTTGCTGAGGGAATACTTCAACTTAGTGCTGTGGATTGCCGGCATATTTTATGGAGGACTGTTTACTGATCCTAGGAGAGTAACGTTAGACTAAAATGCCGGCAGTTCTGACTCACGTAAGTACGTTTTCTTTTATCATTTGCCACTGATGATTCAAACACGAGTTTTGAGCAGTGTAGAGTAAGAGCTGGGGCCCTCCAGGAATTGAGTTTGAGACCAATGATTTAAAATAAGCCTAAGGACATGTTGTGGATATGTTTGTGAAGTACATATCAATTGTTCATTAAAACAGCAATAACTTTTATATATAAAAGTTATTGCTGTTTTAATGAACAATTGATATGTACTTCACAAACATATCCACAACATGTCCTTAGGCTTATTTTAAATCATTGGTCTCAAACTCAATTCCTGGAGGGCCCCAGCTCTGCCTAGTTTAGCTCCAACCCTAATCAAACACACCTGAGGTCTTCAGGATTACTAGAAACCTCCAAGCAGGTGTGAGTTAGAGCTGGTAGGAGCTAAACTCTGCAGAGCTGTGGACCTCCACGAACTGAGTTTGAGACCACTGGTTTAAATCTGGTTAAAAAACTTTCAGACTTATTACAGTCAATGTTTTTGGAAGTTACAATGGAAAGCAAATAATGACAGGCTGTGGAAAAAAAACATGTTTATATTAAAGCACTTACAGTTAAAGTCTACGGAGCAAGACATTTCAGAGGTGTTAAGTTTTTGATAACGCGCTTTTATTAATTGCCCTCTACAAAATGTGTTATTTGGGCTGTCTAAATCGTCCTTGTGGTGATGCTGCTTTACTAACCAGACAATTTGGTTATGCGTTACACAGGTATGCGTTACACAGGTACAGTAATTCCTGCAGGGGAATATTATATTCCATGTAAACATGTTCGTGTTTTACCAAGGGAAAGTCACCAGGGTCCTGGCTTTACATGAGCATGACAGGAGAAAAATTGGATATAAAATTAGTAAGCTATTCTGTCACTAAATGAGTTCTGAATATGAATATGCTATATTTCTCAGCACAGTTCAGTATTAAACGGGGAAATTCTCAGATTCATGGTAAAAAAACAACAACAACAAGCACTGAATTTTGCATCCTCAGAATAAATTTGAAATCGGATGTTATTGACTTTTGCTGATATGGAATATTTATTAATAGTAAATATGTTCATATTCACCGACATCTACGTTTACACTCCCTTTGCAACTTTTCCCTGCCGTGTGGATGGTGACTTGCTAGTTTGAGAAGCACTGTTCTGCTGCTCTAAATGACAGTGTTGAATGTGTGAGCTGAATGGTTCATAATCGGCCATTAATTATTCAAACTGGGTCATGTGAATAATTGAACAATGCAGCTACTGATTAAAGACAATCAAACATACTGGAATAACAGCATTTGGAGTTATAAGTGAAGCTCATCATGTGTGTTTAATGTTGGTAGTGCCTGTGTGTCTTAACAGAAGACGGTGTGTGATGAGATGCCATCTGAAACAAGTCTTCCTCCTAGCAGCTGGTCTTCTCATTTTGACCAGGGTCTACGTCTACATGCGGAGAGCAGAATCGGGAAACCTCAAGGTATTTGCTTGTGCTAATAGCATGATAATTAAAATATTGAAACTTAAAGGGATACTTCACCCCCCCCCCCCCCCCCCCCCCCCACAAAACCAAAATCTAATTCTATTCTTTCCA